AGAATAGTTACAAAGTAGTTATTATGTGTTATTATATATATATATACATATATATACACATGTGTGTGTGTATATATATATATATATATATATATATATATACTATCTTCAATACTCCATTTTTACTCTGCAAAAATGAAAAAAAGGAAAAGATTTATATCTTGAATTAATTGGGGCATTTTAAACTACTAATTTTCTACAACATTTGGCCTTTCTGCTAAATAAATTGGTGTGATAACATAACTGTCAAATTGAATCTTCTAGTGTAGTTGGGAAATAGACAGCTACTCCCCAGAAAACAGTGCCTCATCCTGTCACCCCTGACCTTTTGTCCCCCATGGTGCAGTCTAAGTACACTACAAAGTGGGGTCATATAACTGGACAATGAACAAGAGAGTGAACACCTTTTCATGGTTTAGTTTAGCTCAAGTACTTGTGTGCTCAATAACATGAAGCAATGTCACTAATAAAAAAAAAAAGTACAAGTTTGGCCAAATAAAGCTAAAAAACAGCAAGCATGGCATTTATATGAAAGAAAAATGGAAAGCAGCCAAGAAAGCCAAGAATAAAAGTAATGTAAATGTAGATTACATACAGTAATTGTTATTCTTGCAACACAAAAAATTACTCAAAGCTTTGTTTTGAATCAGTTTTACTTTCTAAATGGCACGTTTCTTTTTTATTTGTAGTAATAAGCTAAATTCAGAATCCACAAGTTCAAGCAATGTCATGGAGCTACCTTTCATTGTGGAAAAAGAAAAGCCTAATCCAGCCAACAACACTTGACTGTATTCACTTTATGGATAGAGAATCATTGATATACAACATTTTGTAAGAGAAATAAGGTGTTTGGAAGTTCATGGGTAAATATCTTATTTATAAAAAAGGAGTTCATGGTATGAAACAAATTTATTTTCTTGTTCTGTAATAGTTGTTTTCTTTATTCAAAGCTACAAAATAGGCTATCTGCACTCTGTTAATTACATGGAATCGAACCCTGATTTTAGTGTGGTAAGTCTGTAAACGTACCAATATCCCACTGGGGTAAAGTGTTTTGTATAGAATGTTATTTATTATTTATAATATTATAATTGTTTTCTTTTTTTTTGTTTAAGTTGGCGTTGATTCAGATGTTTGTTTTTCAGATATAAGGCAAGAACATGCAGCTGGCTACACTTTTCATCTGAAACCAGAGAAGGTCTGAAATTGACATTCAAATTCATTTATGACTTTTGCTTTGAAACTGTTAAAATCGTATCAGAGCCAGAAGAACAAGTGGATGTAGACGACATTTATAAGTTAGATGTAAACAATTCAGCAGTTTGGGGTATTGGCAAGGTGGAGGGCACGCTCAATTGGATGAAAGTTTCTCGATGTTAGGAGTTCCAGTCATGTCTCTGAACATGTTCATCAGACATGAGATGAAAATTGGAAAGGTATTTTAAATAATATTTACGTATTGCCAATATACAAAAAGTTATTAAAGTGGTTACTAGTATACCAACATTCTTTTGTTCCTTTCTTTAAAACAATTATGTATGATAAAACTAATTTCTAATTATATTTATTCATAATTCTATGCAAAGTTTTTCAGCAAATAATATCACATTTAAGCAGATTCAAATCTGTTAGTATTAAGCAAATGACAATAGACACCAATATTTCATTGTTGTAAAATTATAACAAAAATCACATCTACCTTTATATTCTGTTTATTTCAGTTGTAGGAAAAGTAAATGTTTCAAACAATAACGGATGCTTGAGAGAAAAGAAAAAACCTAACAATAGAAGCAAGAGATACAGATAGTGACGGTAAGCCTTTTATTACTGTTTAGGTTGATGGCAGTTGGTCCCAACACAGTTATGGACACAAATACACTGCAAAGTCTGGTTGTGCTGCCATAATTGGTTTCTGTACAAAAAAACTGTTATATCTGAATGTGAGGAACAAGTTCTTTAGCACTTGTTTATGAAATAAAGCAACAGGCATCACTAGAGAGTATGATTGTTGAAAAAACTGGAATAATCCTTCTACACAAATGGAGTCTGACATTATAGTGGAAGGATTTCAGATCAGTAATAAACACATGCATGGTCTATGGTATAGAAAAATAATA